ATTTCATTGTTTCGATATTAAGACAACTCACAAAATATTTAGTAAAGAGACTATCCATTGCGATAAGCAAGATCTAATGTCGGTAATGCTTTTATCATACAACTGATGAAGTATAATTTTATATTTTTCGTTTGCAAGTCTTTCCTTTCGCTGTGCTGTTGTACTACGGTTGTAAACTTAAATTTATCCGAGCCTCAAATGCAGTTTAAATGCGGTTTTTGTTCATAAAATGTTTTTTTCTTTTGTCGAGAGTTTTAGTGAGGAGGCTTTTATGATCAGGCTTCTTCAAAAGAAGGTTCAGTTGGACAAGATTACGGTTTTCTTTCCGTGTGCGGGTTGAATGGGAAAACGGTTTTTCTTTGATGTTTTTCTAGGGAAATTGGACAGTGATAAATGACGAATCTTTTTTCCTTTCTGCAGAAAAACGAAGCAAAATCCCCAAAGTTCTCATCACGTTGCATGCAAGTAAGTGGTACTAGGGTAATGGAACTCCTTAGTGATCTTTTTGAAGCCATACTTTTATTAATACACGATATATCTTTCTTTTTTGCAGAGGAATGAAGTAAAAGGATTGCAGCTCTCATCACGTGGCATGCCAGTAATGCAAGAAAGTTGTACCAAGGTAGGTGATGGAACTCTTTATCGTGATATTTAATTGGCCATGCTTTTATTAATACGTGATGTATCTTTTTTACTCTTTGCAGGAGAATGAAGTAGTAGGATTGCAGCTCTCATCACGTGGCATGCCAGTNTGGCCATGCTTTTATTAATACGTGATGTATCTTTTTTACTCTTTGCAGGAGAATGAAGTAGTAGGATTGCAGCTCTCATCACGTGGCATGCCAGTGATGCAAGAAAGTTGTACCAGGGTAGGTGATGGAACTCTTTATCGTGATATTTATTTGGCCATGCTTTTATTAATTTATGATGCAGTGTGTCCTACCATTGACGCAATCAGAACGGTACCTTAATTAATAAGTGATAAATCATATTCATTATTTTCCTAGCCTGGAATTACATTTATTTTGCCACTACATCCATCTTAAATTTGTATTTCACCCTTTTTACATTTTAATATTGGAATGTGCAAAAATTGCTCCAATGACGACCATTACAAGGTCCGTTCTCAAGAGACTTGCACTAATAAAGTTCCACATTAGCTTTAATAATAAAAATATATTGCTATTAATTTCAATATTAGTTATTCGTAAATCATCAAACGTTACAGGATCAGTACACAACGATAGAGTGTTAACCTTTGCTATCTTACGTAATAGAAGTGGTTTAATTTGTAGTTGTTGATTTATGTTCTCAAAATCAAAATTTATATATATATATATATACATACATATACATACAAAAAGCCATATTCAAAAACTTTGACCCTTTCGTACTTCAAAAGCACCTCAGAGATTATATCCCATAATTTCTTATATACTTTTGATATAGTAATGATGAAAAGGTAAATTATACACCGTGAAAAGATGAAAAAACTTACTAAAAAACTTACTACTTACTCAGTTTTGATATACTTGTATATATATATAAGAAAAGGTCAAAGTTTTTGCATTTTTACCCTTAAATTGATTCCATCTTAGATAGAAATAAAAATACCTACCCTGCAGGCTGAATGTCCTGGGTGCATATATCCTTTCGTTCGTTTGTTTGTTTGTTTGTATTGCACGTACTGTTTAACAACTTCGAAGTCACCTTCACCATCATCATCTGTAATTATTATCAACAKAAGTAGGTAACCAGCAGTATATACGTTCAGTATTGTTAGTAATAATTTATATAACTATTATCAATTTCCCCCTGCGCCATTACCATTGCCATCATCACCATCAACATTATTATCTAGTAATAGTAGTAGAAGGTAGCAATTTTTTAAATAATTCCTGTGTAAATAATAATAATATAGCTATTTAATAGCGGTTGTCATTACCAATTTATACATTTTGTGATGTTTTTTACATTATCACTGTAATAACCATGGATCATCTTTATCATCAAATGCAGTCGCATTTTCATTTTCGCATCTCCAGTGTCTACATTTTCTATACTGACATTTTCTGTACCTGTTGATTGATATTATCAGCAATGAGATCACGATTATTACAACACCATCATCATCATCGACATTTTCTGTACCTGTTGATTGATATTATCAGCAATGAGATCACGATTATTACAACACCATCATCATCATCTTTTTTCTGACAGCAATCACAATTTTCTTTCAGGTTACTTTATCATCGACTTATCGAATGCTTTTTGTTTTCAATAGGTGCAGATAGAATGCTTCGCTGAAAACCTCGAGGTCTTTATCCCACAGAGACTTGACTAAAGTTCTTGAAAGTTCTTAATGAAGTTGTCCCAGTACTTAATTAGCATGGAGTATATTTTTTAATTTTGTCGTCTTAATACTATTAATACTTAATACTATATGAAGATATAGAAATATAGATAAGTTATAGTGCTTGGGACCSAGGTTATTCCGGGCGAAAGCCCTTGGAATTAAATTCGGAAAAATTAATTTCCGACCTCGCTGGGTCCGAATTTTATTTTTTCGAATTTAATTCCAAGGGCTTTCGCCCGGAATAACCTCGGTCCCAAGCACTATAACTTATCTATATTTCTATATCTTCATGTATTTCATAAGTGCTACGCGGTCCACATATTCTCATCTTAATACTATATCATAAGAAATAAATCATACAAGTGAAATTTTTTTAATTGGTTTTGTTTAATACTATTCTATTACGATTGTTGTAAAATATATTTGTGAGTCATTAAAATGAATTCATTTCATATGGAAGCTTCAGTCCAGAAGGCAAGAGAATAACCTCTGATGGATTAGGGTCCAGTTATTC